AAAGTTATGGGTACCATTTTGGGGGGCCCAATAAAAAGGACTATAGTAATTGGGGGTCTATATTGGGGTCCCCCTATTTTGGGAAAGTACCACATTACATCAGTCGCCCAGCCGAACTGTGAGGGGCCTCGTTGTTGCTCTCCACGTTGCCAAGAAAGGCTTCGGAGGACACGGAGGCCATGGTTTTCTGACAGGAAAGGTAGCAGCAAGTATTGGCAGCCACACTGCAACTACTCGCAGGAAAGATGACAGAGCTTCGTCAAACAGCATGTGAGCTGTAGTCTAATCTCTAGTATCCCCTTTAATCACCCCTACAAGCCTCCTCTGTATAATCCCCTATATAGCCCCCTTTAAGGAGCGAGCCTGTTCTTTGTCTGGGACGCCTAATGGCCTAAACCCTAATCCCTAAATCCTAGACCCTAGACCCTAATCCCTCAACCCTAATCCCTAAACCCTGATTGCCTGCTTCGCGACTTGGTTGCTAGCCTCACAGGCTTGAATATAGAACCCCAACACAGCGCGGATTCTTTAGGAGGACCCCCCACCCTGTAACAGTGGTAGAATAAGAATATGAGAGGGCCCTTTCTGATCCTTATTATCCCTTATAGTCACTATTCCTGGGTGGGGGCTCCACCTAAGAGATTTTAGTCTTCAGATAGCATTCATAGCCAACAGTAGTATCAACTCCTCTTCTTAATGCTTCTAGTAATGATGATAAACACCTTATCTTTCTTACTCTTACGACTATTATACGTATAACGATCATTAGATACTTGGGTACTGTGATCTTGTGGTCTGTGCGGAGGCGGACTCCCAGGCCTGGTTCGTAGGCGAAACATCCTCTCACAACACAAGGGGTCTTCCAGAAATTGGGGGGAGCCTTTGTGGGAGCGGAGTGGACTACAGCATGTTGAGGTCTTTTTTGGGGTCGACATGAGCCATAGTCTAAACTCCTACTATCCCCCTTATAACCCCTATCATACTCGCCTATATAGCCCCCTTTAAGGGCTTAGGCCCCAAACCGCAAGCCCTATAATATATCTCCCTCGAAGGAGTTTAGACTGTTGCTCATATTGGGGCCCCCTACTTATGGAAATTCCAATAACGTGCTCGCAGCCACCAGCCCTTGCAGGGGCTGAATCTCAGCAATAACTGGGCTGCTGCATAGGAACTTTAATAAAGTTGACATCATTAGAAGGGAGTGTAGAGTTTAGGGTTTAGGGCTAAAGTTGCCATAATATGGGTTTGCGGCTTAAGTTATGTTAATATGGGTATACAGTAAACAATGGGGTTTCCTTATTATAGCAATTTACTTCAAGTTCCTTAGCGGCAGCCCAGAAATCTGAATGCTTCATCCGCCTGGTAATCACAGCGGTCCTCGGCCTCTACCCCCGACAACATGCTCTTGAAGGAGCGCTTGGCGAAGGACTGCGACGCCTCCTGAGTGGTTCTTTTCATGGTGGTTGAACTGGGATTCTACTCTGTATAAAAACTACCCAAAAGGAGGATAGAACCTTACTCTATGCTGGGTGCCATGGTATCCCTAAATAGAATGCTACCCTCCTGAAGATCACTACCGGGTCACAGACTGACGAGGACCGCCACAAATTTCCGGCCCTGTGTCTGTCGCGAGCATTTATGGATTATCCTAGTCATTGTATTAGGAATACTCCTGCCACTATGGGTGACATTGGCCCTTCTTTTGATTATCAGTTAGCGTAGCGTCCTTGGTCACCTTTTCTGTCACGCCAGTCTCTCTCCTGGCTGTCAAGTCCTTGGCAAGTATCGGAGCAAAAACTACACAGACCTCAGTGGTATAATCGTGAAAATCAACGACACACACAGCACAATGACTGAAACAGCCATAAGTCAGTGAGGACACTTAGAACATTGGCAAGTCGTGACATTCGTCGTCACTTTGATCGTAGAAGCGCTGCTACGGCTGCCGGATGGAGCTATGACGGTGCTGCAACTGCCATTGCTACACACAATGCTGATAGCATTGCTTTTCCTGTGCTTGCGCGCGCAGCGGCATAGTCGTATCAAAGACAGAGTATCATATGCGGCATACTACCAGCAACAGCCACTCGTCAATGACGGCAGTAAGCACGTTGGTAAGGCGTCGTGGTAATGGTTATCGCTTTCGTAGTAGCGGCGTCAGAAGTGGAAGTGGTGGTGGTGGTGGT